GCTGGTCGTGAATGAATAATCGGACGTTGTTTCGCCCACATAGGGAATTTCGTTTTGAACTTCGGCCGGTTCGGGTTCGACCTCGACCTCTTCGGCCGGTTCTTCTGCTTCTTCCGCTTCGGCGTGCATTTCGGCGGGTTCGGACGCAGCGAATACACATCCGGATTCGGTCTGCGAAACCTCTTCGACAACTTCCGTTTCTTCGACCTCAGCCTCGTAGGTGATCTCTTCTTCGCTCTCAAAGGACGCCGCGTGATCTTCTTCGACGACCTGGGCATCGCCGTAATGCGGTTCGGCCTCGACCTCGTAAACACTCTCGGACGCGGATTCTTCTTCCTCTTGGGCGGCATACGACGGCTCTTCGTATTCCGTCGGTTCTTCGTATTCTGCGGCCGGTTCTTCGACCGCCGTTTCGGGCTGCGGTTCGTATGAGCTTTCGGCTTCCGAAGTTTCCTGAACGGCGCTTGCCGGAACAGCCTGAGCCGACGCGAGCAATTCGACCGTCAAACCCGCTACGCGAACGAGTGTTTCCAGAGCTTCGGTATTTATCGGAGCGTCGTCACCGGTGGTGTCGGCATAAAGAACGGCGACGCCGCGGCCGCGTGCGATCAGCGGAATGGCGGGCATCGAAACCGGATCGCCAAAGCCGAGCGGGCCGAGAAACGTCGTGTTTTCTGCCGATTCGGCGGAACCGCCCGGCGTGCTGGGAAGCGAACGGACGGCGTGGGCCAACAGCGACCTAGATCCGACGGGAAATTCGACCGAGCGGACGGTTTCGTCACCGGCGAATGCATTCGAACCAAAAACGTGCCAGCCGACAAAGTTGTCGTTCTTTACGATAAAGAATGCGCCGCGCGTCGTGAATTTTGCCGCGTGTTCGACCAGCGAACGAAGTATCGTTGCCTGCGAGGATTGCGCGCTGATGTCTGCGCTAGCATTTCTGAGTTGGGCGAAACTGCCGTCATCGGAACCGGCCGCGGACGCACTTCGCCGGTCTTCGGACTCGGCAACAGCTTTTGCCGCACGCTGCGCGCCTTCAGCGCGCGCGAGCCTTAAATGCTCGACGACCGATTCGGAAAAAGCACCGTCAAACTCCTTTTCTGACCCCAAACGATCGGAAAATTCGCGAAAGGCCGTGTCCAATTGGCTTTTGTGCTTTTCGACCTCCGATTCGATCTTGGCCTGAAATTCGGCAACTTCGCGACGAAGATCGTCGGTCAAACCTTTCAGATAAGTTTCGAATTCAGTCCTCAAACTCAGTTCGAGTTCTTCACTATTCACAGTATTTCTCCTCCAAAATGCTTAGATTATACATTTTTGAA